ATAGTTTTCTCAGTCGTGAATTCGGCTTTTCTAAGAGACACCTTTGGGATAATAGTATTCTGGGAGAGAGGGGCGCCAATAGTTCTCTATTTTTATTTTTAGAAAGCTAGTGAGAATTATAAACTCTAGCTTTGTCAAAAGGAAATTAACAAAAACTTATATAAAATTTAATTTGAGTAAAAGAGAATTGTTGTAACCTTAAAAAATAAGATTTAACATATAAATGAATTTGTTTAATTATACGAAATGAATTATTTTACAAAAACAAAAAATACTGAAATTTTCTAAATAATGATTTTTGTCATGCTGGTACCAACAACTTTAAAGTTAAAACCATAATCAATAGTTTTTTATAGCCTCGTGAATTAATTACCACTATGTAGATATCTGAAGATCTTCTATCTTAGGAATGTCGCCATCATCGGTAGCCTCGGTAGCTTCTCTAGCTCCAAAACATCCAGTTGAATAATTCTAAAATAGTTTTTGTTAAAGTTGATTATTTAGCAGTATCTAGCAGTGAATTTTCGATAGGAAGGAGAAAATTTAAAATGTGAGAATGCTTACATTCGCTTCCTAAACAAAAAATAAATTGTGTTTTTCACGAGGCTCTTGTAAGATATATAATTTAACTTTTAACATTACTAATTACTAATTAATATAGACAATGTGTAAATTCAGCTCACAAAATGAGTAAAGCATATTTAACAAATTTAAATTGACTTTCAAAATAAATAACAATAAAAATAAGTATAAATATAATTTTTACTGAGATATTTTTAAAATGACATTATTAAAACTTACCACTATATTTTGCAGTCTGGGCACTGAACTGTTAGTTTAAGTTATCAGATGAGAAATGAATTTTCATGAAAAGATTCTAAAATTGAGATCCAGCCAGATCCGCACCTAGAGAAATTTCCCTCTCTAAGCATATTGCAGGCACCGATAATTAAATGGTAAATCAATCTGATACTAATTTATACAGGATGTCACACAATTAAAATAACATTTTTTAAATGGAATTTTAAAATGTTATATATAGAGCTTAATTTTTGCTAAAAATTTCAAGTTAATAACATTTTTTTGTTTTGTATTTAGGATTTTTTTATTTCAGCCCCCTTAACTCCCACATTTTTAATCAGATTTTTTCAAAATCAATAGGCTTCGTTCCCTTATAGAGAGCTTAATTTTTGCTAAAAATTTCAAGTTGATATCATTTTTTTTGTTTTGGAGTTTTCAATTATTTCAACCCCCTTTAGCCACTTATTTTTATTCAGATTTTTTTAGAATCAATTAGCTTCATCCCCTTATAAAGATTGATTTTTCCTTAACATTTCAATTCGATATCGTTTTCCGTTTTTAACTTAACGTGCGGACAAAAAAAGTGACATCGGACAGACAGACGGACAGACAGACAGACGGAAGGATGAAGCGAATACATAATACTCTTCACAGACTACTGTGTGCAGAGTATAATAAATAATTTTGAATTTGTGGACGATAAATAATATTGATTAGCAATGGCACTTTGAATGCCTTGAGAGAGTCAAATTAAAGGTGAAATATTGGTGGCTGACCAGAAAATTTTGATGAAATGAACAGAAATCATAATAATAAAGAAAGAAGGAAAATAAAAAGAATTTTAGACTTTACCAATTTAAACTATAATAAAAAATAACGTCAACAATTTGTTTCTGTCAATCAGCTGTACCTGTCAAATTTGATAAATTTTAAACAATACAATAACTTAGGTTATTTCTCAAAACTTCTGTTTGTGGTACTTCTTAACTAATTTAACTAAGTTAACTGATTTTGAACTGTAATAAAAATAAATAAAGCGAATTTTAAAAAGTATGACATACTTTTTTTTAATATGTTTGTTTCTTTTAAATATCTAATTAAAATAACACGTCAGAAGATGTGTGTTTTACATCTTAACTGGTCTTTTCAGATTTTAGAAATTAAATTTGGTAGGTATAGTCCAGTAACTGAAGGGTCAAACCTGTAGAAAATTCGCTGATGAGTTCCCACATAGCGCAATTTGTAGGTCATCGCAGGTGTTTTTAAACGAGAAAATCCTTAACGCGTTCTTGGTACCGGAAGGGACTGAAAATGGACCCCTAAAACCTGGAAAATGGGTTTTTCGCTAATATCTGACTGAATATGCCAATTAGAGAATTTTTGTTTAGACAAAAAATGAAGATCAGCTCATTATCTACAAAAATGGTTCCTGTAATTTTCTTCAAAAATTCAATAGTTTTCGAGATAATGGCACTCAAAAGTCCCCTCATTTCAGCTGCTGCTCTACCTGCAGGAATTCCGATTTCTATGAATTAACGTGTAAGCGGGCGGACGAATTGTTCCATATCTCGGGAAAAAATTGATATTTTTCGATGATTCAAAGTTCATCGCAATGGGAAAACCCGTAGCTACAATTCCATGTGACTGGAAGTCAGTTCGTATTTGCCAAAAATATTTAAAAAAGCGGTCAAAGTTTTTTTCAACAATATTTAAAGACTGCTTCATTAATTTATTCATATTTTCTTTAAAAATAGTCATTTATTCTAAGTTTGCCTTTATAATGGGACCTTGGGGGGTCTTGAATGATCTCAGAAATTTTTTGTAATACTTTTCTTGCGTTTTAATACAAAATTGATTTGTTTATTTACATGTTTTAGCCGATTTCGGAGTTCCATAGAATATTCGGAACAAGCGCGACTTATAATCTTATGGTCCGTTATATTAATTTCCAATGCACATTATTTTAAAGCGTAGATGGTCTACTTTTCGAATATATTTTTTTATTTTTAATAGAGTCTAATAATTTTCAAGAAATGAGGAAAATCGATCACACGAGTGAAAACCGGCCTTTTTTTTGTTTAACCATTTCTTGTTCCCCGCTCTTTATTTTTTGAGGATTAATAACTAGATCAAAGTAAAGCTTGTATTCTGGCCTTTCCATTGATATAAGTCAATCCCCATATCCGTTCTTGGTTCTAAAAAGGTTGTTACAATTTTTACGCTCCCCCTCTGAGATCCATGATATTGTATATAACCTAACCTCGTGTACCCACGCGGTGATAGTTGTCTGCATGTGTTTGTATACAATCTCTGTTTTGGAGTCGTCGGCTTGACAGGATTATTGATGTACTGCTGATATGTTTTCATTATTTATTTGAATTATTTAATTAAAATAACTATGTCATTAAATTAATTCAGTTATAAAAAAAGAAGAAGTGTTTAAAGTGAGAAATTTCCACGTTATTCTTGTCTACAAGAAAAAATATTCAAGGATTTTTTTGTTGGAAGCAGAAAATAAGGTTTGTTTTATTTTGCCTCAACTTTAAAAACTTGGTGTAATTGTTCTAACGGTTGGATCATCTATTTTTTGGTAGCTCTTGGTGTTGTTGAAATGAAGCGGATTCCGTTCCAGAATGCTTTCTTTGGAGGGTGTTGTGGATGACGGTGTAAATGTTACTCGTGGTTTAGAAAATTTGATTCGAGTGAGCAAGGAGAGATGCGATAATTTTCACTTATTTCTCCAGAAACAATCCTCTGTACGAATGCACAACAAGTGTAGGGACCGCTATATTATTAAATCATGAGGCAAGTTCGCGTACGAGTTTGACAAGCACTTATCAAGACGGTTGGACCATTTAACGAGCACGAAGAGACAAAAGAAGCGCTCACATAGTGGCTTTGACTTCAAAAACAATTGTTTGTTCTGTCAGTTACCTGCTTCGATAGAAAAGGAGAAAAGAAAGAGCAGTTTGGTAAAGAAGCGTACCATCGTACTTGTTTCGAACACAGAATTCAAGACCACACTTCTAAATCAGATCGCATCTCATATTGATATAGAAAAGTATAAAGCGACGCTAGAAATAATTTCTGGGATCGACCTCACAGTTGTTGGTGCAAGATATCATGAAGTCTGTCGAACATGGTCGAACATTCGCTAATACAATTGAGAGAGCCCAAGCGCTACTTTGCAGAAAAAAATCAGGTGAAATCCGCCAGTAATTGTCGAATAATCGATTTTTTCCGAGATTTTCATTTACGGACTCCGTAATTTAGCGAGAAGAGCAAAGGTGCTGGCGCCATCTGCAATTGGTCTCTAAAGTCCAAAAGATGAAGATCAATGCATTTCCAACCCCATCGAGCGAAAATTCGGCAAGAAACTACCATATCTATTCAATATGAAAATTATGGATTTTTCGAAGTCTGATTTTGCAAAAAATATTGGCATTGCGAAAAAATTGGTACGGATCAAAATTCTCTAATTGGCATATTTAGCCAGATATTAGCGGGAAACCCGTTTTTCAGAGTTTAGGGGTCCATTCGATCTTGACTTATTTGCTTTTTTTAAGTTTGATCACTTATTTGCATATTTTTTATTTTAGCGTCATTTATAGTTATAGCAAGAAAAAATATTCTTTTATAATCTTCACATTTGAATAAGATTCGTCCACAAATATTTTTTTTAATTCACTTTTTACTATCAGAAAAAATTCTCAAATTTTTTAATGCATATTTTTTGTTATTTATATTTTGCTTCTTTTCTATCAAAATAAATAAATGCTTTGTTAGATAATTTTTTGAAACCTAAAGAATTATGAAAAATAGTTGTTAGCTCTATTTGGAATTCATGATTTTGGTTTACTTTTTGCAAAAATCAACATGAAAACGATGAAAAACATTTGTACTATGCATATTGGGCAGTTGCAAGCAAATCGGACGATATGGTTTCTGTACAGATATTTAATTCATATTAAATTAAGTAAACCAAATTTTATTATTTATACGTACTCTTAGTTATATTTAAACGTGAGAGGCATAAAGAGAGTAATTGGTTTAACCACGCCCTTACGATGGCAAGCATGGCATATTGTAGTCTGCACTTATCAATGTATTCTAGTTCCCTTTATTTAATAGCATTATGTTTCTATACCGTTCTTCTGGAGTCAGGAATGAAAAGTTAACATATTGTATATTTTTTCCAGACAATGGTACTCCCACGCGCCTTGCTACGACTGCCTAGGTTACCAGAACCCTGCAGTTGGATATGGAGGCTATCAGCCATATGTAGGCGGTTATCCACCATACCCACCACTTTACCAACCCCAATCTATGCCGTATAATCCTCAATTTAGCGAAAACGATACCGACTCTAACATACCAGTTATGAATTATGGGGGATACAACCCAGCAGCTGAACCAGCTACAAATTTAGACATACAACCAGGATATATAAACCCACCGGTGCAGTACTATGACGCAAGGTTACCACGAGAAGTTGAAATTGAAGTTAAATACGAACCATCTTCCAACGCACAAGCTGAAGTTAAAATTAAAAAGGAAGGAGATTTTGATATTGTTCCTCCAGTAGAATTCGAAAAAAATATCGACATTATTGATATTGATAGCATAGGTAATGCCAAAGAGAAAAAAATGCGTTAAATATACAATGATAAAGCCTTTAACTTCTTGTCGCGCAATTTTGAATGTTTATATTAGAGTAAAATTACTGTTTTTTGACATTACAATGACAGGTCAAAGTTTCGAAATGACAGGGGGTCTTATGACTCATCGTTTTAAAGGTATTTTCATTCTTAAATCAATCCCCAATTTTGAAAACATTAGAATTACTCGTATTCGCGTGATGGCCAATTTTCTCTTCAATTAAATTTTCATGTGTAAAATCGATAATTTTACTCCAATATAAACACTCAAAAGGAAGATAGAATTTATGTCCTTACTGTATAAAAGAGAAGATACAGAAATTGTTCTTAGGGAATATTAAAAATATGTTATCAAAGTTAAGGTAATGGTATTTAATTGATAGTGCCAAATTTTTAATGAACAGACAATAATGCCGAGCAAATGTACTCGCAAAAATTGAGTTTTAAAAAAGATGGATTGAAATTTAGATTAATTTTTACCTCAATAATGTATTCTATAGCTAAATGACACATAATATTAGGAACTTCTCTTTTTTGGTTGACTATACCATTTTTCCAATAAAGAAACAATGTCAAAAAACTTGGGTAAAATACTAGGGACTATTTAATTAAAATAATGTACTGCTTTTACGGTGTTTTGTATTTTTATATTTCAAAATAAAAAATATTAATGCAAATCAACAATATTTTCTTATTTGGACAATCTTACAAGAAATTCAAAATTTCAAGATTTAATTAATATTCTTCATCCAATATATCTGGGGCATTTAAATTTGTATGCAAATTTTGCCAAAATAATTTACTTGATGGCTTCATAGCAGTTGCTATAGCTTTCACAATAGCATCCTTCTTTTTAGATGTTCCACAAAGTGTGGTAAGCGGTTTAGGTATATTTAGTTCTATTTTTAATTTGATTATATTTTTGTTTCTTTTCATACTTCGTCACGAAAATCAGTTTTATGAAATAATTCTTGTTTGCCTTTTATAAATCATACCTATACTTTTTTTACTATACCTTTATCTTTTAAAAATAGCACTTCGTTTAGCACTTTTACATACGTTCTCAAATTTTATAAAATCTGAAATTTCAAGAAAGTCAAAGATTTGAGCCTAAACCAACTAAAGGCGCCTGACGAACCACCAAAATTTTTCCTCACAAAAAATTTTACCACCTACATTTTGTTTGCAAAATAATCACTGATTAAATATAAAATAGTAAAAATCTCAGCTCTATAAATATTTAGAATTAAGTCTCACTAATAAAATAGTTGATAAAAAATTTTAAAAAATCATTTACAAAATTTAACTAATGAGATATTTTATAATAAAACTTCCTCGTATTTTTGTTAAGCAGCCTAAACATTAATTATTTTAACAAAAAACCGTATAAAGGCAATGAACTGGAGTGGGGTAGAAAGCCAATGTTCATATTGTACCAATAGAACAAGATGCGACTCTATGGGCTCAGCCATTTGTATCGCTCATCTCACTCGGGAGTATTTATAATAACCATTTTCTGTTTCACATTGTTATTGTCGAGTCCACAAGCTGGTGGATCAGACAATAACAATGTGAAATAGAAAATGGTTGTTATAAATACTTTCGAGTGAGATAAAAAATAACCTGTCTTTGCCTATAGAGTCGCATCTCAAGCCTATTGACAAACATTCTACCAATACCTCCTATTTTAGGAAGTTAATTATCAAGTTAAAGTTGAAAAACTAAGTATAATCTGTTTTTAACTTTCGTATACGTCCTTATAAATATAAACATCAATTCACAGAAAAAGTAGAGTGGGACGACGTTGTGATTTTTGTCTCACTTTGTCTCGTTACTGTGATTGGTAAAATTCAAAAAAGAGGTTATATTCCTTATATCATTGCGGAAGTAAATATATTTATTTTCAAGAAAGTAAGTTTTGTTATACCTACTTATTCTTTATTTGACTTTATACCAAATGACTCGTAAAAGTTCAGACCATGCGTATCTATTTATTTCTGACGTAAACGTACGTGTTCCTACGTATGCCTCATACGCATTCGTATCGAGCCGAGCATATACTTCGGTAGTATCCGATCGAATTCGATTTTGATAAAAGAAATAAAAAACTGTAACTTATAATGTTCTGTTATTTAAATTCAGAACCATAATGCGAAATAAGTTTAATTTGTATAAATATACAGAGCACATTTATTCAATAGAAACATATTTTAGGAAAATAGTTGCTAGAAAAGTGTTAAAATGAGAAAATTAATTGAAAAAAATGCATTAGCAAAAATTAACATACATTGATGCTCGATCATTTGTTGTAATCATATCTAGCATTACAAGAGCCCCAGCATAATTTTATTCATCATTGTAACACTACAGCATCATCTAAACATGCGACAAAAGTTACAAGATGGAAATAAATGATAAAAAAAAACTGTTCGTAAAATATCGTTCAACTCTATTAGACATTGATTATAATGATGTTTCAATCTCTAAGGATTTAAGTGGGTAAATTTAACGATGTTTCCTGAATTAGAGGCGGTTATAGAGTCTCATTTGACTGCTTACTTAAACCCGACTTAAACGTCAATATAATCAATATTTTCTACCATTTCAAATTAGCGCCTGATTAAAAATCTCTCATTTATATTTTTTATATTCGACTGTAAGATTAGAATTTTTAAAGATAAATAATACATTTACTTGATAAACAATTTTTACGATTTTTTTATTTCCTTTGAGTACTTACCTAGAAATACCTATAAATATACCATTGTAAATGTAGGTCCTGACCTAGTATGTTATCTATTCATACTTTTAATTACTGATAAAATGGGTACTTTCCAGGAAAATATTTTTTTAAAGATAATTCAGATAACAAAAAAAAATGTTAGTAATACAGCAAAACGTACGCAAGATAAAATCAAAACCGAAAAAACAAATTTTACAATAATAGTTGTAATACTAATACCTATAATCTTAAATCTCAATTTTCACTTTCGTTGTAAATACTAATATAAAAATGAAACTATTAAATTTCATAAAGATTTATTGATATAATATCCATATAATATAAAATTTGTATATTTATAAACAACTTCTACTTTGTGGTATCGTTCTATTTTGTTTTTATAGCCTTCATCTGTCTTTCGATGTCCTTGATATAGTTATCAGGAATATTCAAACCCCTAAAAAAATATGAAATAAAATAATAGATTTTAATTCAATTAATTTTTGTTACACCCAGATATTACAAATACATTTTATATCTACCAGAAGAATATAATATAGACATCTAAGGTGAAGTGGGGTAAGTGGGACCTACAAATATGAAAGTTCAGCTTTACCATGTTATAAAAACGGCTGTAATTGCTCCATAAAGCTGAAATTTGAGCAGGTGGTACTACGTTAGGTTTACTCTATATAATATACATGTTCGGAAAAAAAAATAAAGGAAATATAGTGTTACAGTTCCCACTTGCCCCATAAACTGGGAGAAGTGGGAACCAAGAAAGAAATGTACATTTCTAATGTTTACAGTTGAACTGGGGCAAGTGAGAATATAGTTCAAGATGCGAACTTTTCAAAGAAATTTTTTTTTGCCGATATCTTTTGTAGTTTTGGAGATATTTAATTTTTCCCACGGACAATACAATAGAAAAAAATGGTTATTTCAAAAATTTATTGAAAGATGTCTTAACAAAAATTATTTAAACAAAAGTAAGAATGATAACTCTTCAAACAAAAGTACAAAAAATCACGTTTTAAGGTGGTAAAAACAAAAAAAAAAGGTAATTTTAGTAACACTTTAGAAAATAATTTAAACAAACTTAAGCAATAATCACTGAATATTATAATTATTTAATGTGACGTGGAATGTGAGCACCCCCGGCGGCCTAAAACTGGCTCAGGCAACACCATGACTATGTCATCTCCTAATACCACACTCTTGTCCTCTGTATATAGCCATACAAAATCACCTCTCTGTATCATTATTTTGGGGTAAGTGGGGCCTAGATTATCACGAGGTTAAAACTTGACAATTTTAATTTTGGATTGGTTCCTGCAAAAATTTGGAGTGTTTTTTACCTAAGAGATATTTGTTCGCTGGCTACATCAATAGATTTTATGTAAAATTATGCAACCTTTGCCTGTGACATTAAATGCACAGCTGTTTTTGGTGACCTAGTTTCTTTTTTCTAACCAGATTTCAACTTCATCTGATCAAGAAGGTTCGATCATAATTTAACTTATAAACAATGAAAATTCCTACAATAAAATTTTAGAAGCGAAAATTCCCACTTACCCCAGATTCCTACTTAACCCACTTCACCTTAATAGTTATATTTTTAATTTTGACATATAAAGTGATATTTTTTTGTAATTGCAAGTGTTAAAATGATCTAATTTACGCAACCAGTTGCATAATGTTAAACATTATGAAAATGGTTTCCAAAAAATTCATTGTCACCCATTGCGAATAGAACGCAAACAAAAATAAACCTTTTTTGGTTTTAAAATCAATAATATACATTATTACTGAAAGTTTATCTCAAAGAAGGGCAGGTTGACTTATAAAAATAGAATTTGGTTAAACTTACAACTTAGTAACAATGTTATTTTGGTCCTTAGTTTCCATTCTAAATCAGCAGAAAATAATTAAAACACAATACACGACAAAATAACCCACTTTTTTGAAAAATAACTTTAATAATAATTAATATTATATTCTATTTGTCAATAAAATGATGCATATGCAACCAACAATAGTAAGTAGTAATATTGATTGCCTAGATGTCAGTAATTTCTTACAAAAACAATTTTATAAATAATCTAGTTAAAATTAGAAAAAATATTGTATTTAACACGTTACGAAATGCCGTTTAATGTAACTCGTTCATGTTGCAATGCCTCGCTCTGCTCATCCCGCAAATATTCACGCATTTAGTTACTGGTTCCATAAATAGCTATTATTAAACTTTTACAAAATGCCGAATTTTATGTAACGAGTGAATATATGCGGAACGAGCAAAGCGAGTTCCCTCAACATGAACGAAAAGAGGAAGAAAAAGAACAAAAGAACGAGAATTCTGGCTCACTCTCAGTCTCGAGGAAGGTACAGGAATCTCCTCATCTAGACAACCAATATTACTACTTTACTTTCTTGTATTGTTAGTTCTATTCTTTTATTGACAAATAGAAAACCATATTTAATTATTCTCAACGACTTATTGTAATGTGTTTATATTCCTTGTTAGTTACTTTGTCGTGTGTTGTTTAATTTATTTTGTGCTGATTTAGAATGGAAAATAAGGACGAAAATTTTTTGTAACCAGTTTCATTATGTTCAACATTATGCAACTGGCTGCGTAAAGAAGATTATTTTGACACTTGCTGCGATTACAAAAGATGTTACTTTATATGTTAAAATTAGAAAAACTATATTTTGGATTTGTACCCTTCGAAATAGAGAAGTGACTTATTACCACATCTACCACAACCCATTCATAAATATTGTTTGTTTACACACCAACATTAAACGTCAGATAAGGTTGAAAATGGCGTCGTTGTTTACATTTACTGATATTATTGCCATGGGCGTATCATTAACAGGAAAATGGTACAGTAATAAAAGAATTCTGTTAAAATTTTTATTTATATATTTACACAATGATGTATTATTCAAAAGCTAAGAATAACGATATTTAAACAATTTATAAATAGTATTATGACCAATGTAACATTTTAAAAATATGTTTTAAAAATATAATATTGCTAATACACTATTAATTTACAGAAAACTGTGCAATTTTCTAGGAAAGGTTTCAAGAAGTATGATGTTTGAGGTCTAACATACTTACATATATTGGAAAGAATTCATATATATTTCCTGAAAAGAGATCTTTTAGTTCTTATCAATACTTCTGATGCTATAATTCGTTTAGAGACTGGAGAGTAAAGTATGCAATTAATAATTTAATATTTTTAAAATGTCCCTTAACTGGATACAACAAATAATAACAATGCAATATCATAGCTATGCATTGCTTTGTTTTGAACAACAATTGCGATTGAACAACTCTACAAATATGAAGTATAACTGGATAGTACATATGAAAAATTGATATTGATTTTGTTCATATATAAAACAATTTAAACCAACTTTATTTTAGTTATAATAGGAAAGATTTGTTCAAGTGTTTTACACATTTACATAATTTGGATGTTAGTATAGCGTCTCCTTATACTTTTATATATTTATAAAATTATTTTCCTACCTCTTGTGAACAAAGTACATACTTGCTTTCTAAATGACCTATTTAAGTTACCTATACTCTTTTTCAATTGTGTATGTTCAATCTTTTTTTAATTAAATTTTTATTAAATTGTATTGGATATGTTATTGATTATAGATTATACTGTGTGCAATACACATGAAAAAGAAACTGTTGTTTACATTCTTTTGATTGTCTGATTTATACATCAATGAAACAGAATATTCGCTGCCTTGAAAATGTAAATCCATTGCTGCGATACATAATACTTTTCCATCTTCGGGTGCAGTCAAAGTTTATTAAAACATGGGGACGATTACCAACAATTTAAATTTATTTTAAAAATAACAGGAACCCCTTCTGTTTCAGCGTGTGAAGGTGTATTCGAAAAATTTTTTCGAAAAAAAAAAAAAAAAAAAAAAAAAAAAAAAAAAAAAAAAAAAAAAAGCTTTCCTCTAAACGTGGCTTTATATTGTGAAGTATGTGGTTCGTATCCTATTATCTACTTGATAAAAAAATTTCAAACCTTTTGAAAATTGGGATAACCTGTAAGATACTTGCAGTTGGCGGTTCACTATCTGATTCATTAAACTACTTGTAGTAGTAGTAGTGCTGCATGCCCTGGATAGGATATAATCTGATTAAAATTTTAACTACACATAACAGACAATTATTAAAAAAAATATATAGGTATGCCTGCAGAGTTATTCTACTAATTTTATAGTCAGCTATAAGATATTTTTTAGTAATTTAAATTATATATTTATTGTTATACCTTGCGAGATGGAATAAATCGTCTATACCAACTTCTTTAGAAACTGATGGAGAGCTACAAAAGGAATAAATATTTAATGATATGCAATCACATACTTTGAGGGTGCAAAAGAAGATATATTTACATTATCATTACCTTGAGGTGTTAGGAAGATTAACTTGTTTTGAACTAGCATCATTTTTCAAATATTTCAGGCCATTCGATGTAAATAAGAAATTGCTATCCTCAAAATGGCTAGAGCTCCCGTTCCAAATTGATTCCCAAAATACCAAACCAAGCTTTTTTCTCTTAAAATTTACAGGAAACCTGAAACAGTTATTAGTATCAATTTTAAATGTAATTTAAAAAGAAAAAATAAATATATGCTTGTTTATAAATGTACAAATATTTTATACACTACAGATACGCCAATGATTAAAAAATATAACCTATAATTAACTTCAATTTAAACTTACTTGTAGAACAATAAATTTTGATTTAGATAATACACAATTTATGAATGGGATACAGCTAAGCGCGGTTGCCACGTTTAGGCCGATTTTTTTATTATCACTGTGCTTATTTTTTATATAATTGATTAACAAAGTTTATATTTGGTTTGTAGTATTTCAAAAGTTATTATTAACAATATTTAACAGGAATATTAGAGGTTTCTTATTTTGCTGAAAACTATTAGAAAGTAATTTAGATAGACTTGGCAATGTGGTAAATCAACTGTAATCTTATCCACCACATTAGCTTAGAATGTGACTGATTGTTGTCGATCACGGTGGTTACATCTTCTGGTTTCTATATCTATGCTTATTACTTATTTTACTTTCCAGCTAGTGCCGGGAAAGTAACTTTCCCGTCTAGCATGTGTCACTTTCTTACCAACAAATGTCATTTACTATGAAATGTTTCGTAAATGTTTTCGTATCTCTACCTGCTTGTTTCCGGAATCCTGCCTTAAATGGCTTTTTCTGCAGCTACTCATAGTTATAGTGGAGTTCATTCAAATTAACTGACATATTAAGTTAATTTTATTATTAAAAGTGCCATTCACTTACTGTCAGATCCAACCAACTTGTTATATTGCCTAGCAACGGTTTCACAAGTATCTTTGTTAATTTTTTTTATAAAAATATGATAGAAATTAATACCAATATTATTATTTAAAATGTATATAAAAAACGAGTTTGTTAGTAAAATCGTTTACACACCTCGAGGGAATTCATTCTAACCTTGACAGTCGGATGTAAGTGTACTTCCTCGCTCGGTACGTAATCCTACTATTTTTCTTTCAGTAACTATTTGTAACCTGACGATTCTCTTATGGTAAAGAACTACTCTCAATTCCTTGTGTAGAGAGGGTTGTCTTTAAAAATATTATGTACTACAGATTTAATTATTATTATGAAAAAAAAAATTTTCTATTTAAAATTAAAGATAAGTTATAAAGTACAGTGTGATTCAAACAATGGAAAACATTTTTACTGTTGATTTTTCATACAATTTTTTTCTTGATAAAAAAATATGGTGACATAATTATGTATATTCTTAACTTTCACCCTCTTCGCCTCATGTCTACCCGCTACATTTTGTTGTAAAGTGAATCGTTTGTATCTGGTGTTTTTTACTCTTTTGTTTATGCTCTTTCCTTTTCTGTTTTTTTTTTTTTTATTAACCGTCCCCCTTTATATTATTTTTGACTTATTTTTGTATTTTTTCACAGAAACCTCACTTTTAAAATAATTTTGGGTTGATATAATTAATTAAAATTCCCTGTATCTGTAACGTGTGGCGGGTGGGTTGCCCCCACGTCACTTAGACCTTACTAGGCCCGTTGTGCATCCTCCTAAGATGATAGGCACCTTCTAGTTCGTGGGCCAGCCTACAGAGTGAATGTACTTGACAACTTCGCCAAGAGATGCTTCTCTTATATCGGCCGGTGTTAGCCCATACTCGCCGAACATAAATCTTCTAATAAATAATGGGAGCATCATCGGCCAATCGTAGATGATATGCTCGATAGTCTTATCTTCTTGTTCGCACCCCCTTCAGATTGTGGATTCTGACAGTCCCATGATATGGAAACGCTTCTGTACTTGGACGTGACCAATCAAAATGCCTGTTTAGTTAAAGTCAAGTAGGTACCTATTTGTTTGCTGTAGTGTTGTCAGGATAACTTAAAATATCTCTCTGCAGTTTCTTGTTTCATCACTTTCTTGAAATTTCAGAAGGGAATGTTCTCTAACTGTCACTAACAATGTTGTCAGTTCAATAGAAGAGCCAGGTCCAAAAAGTATTTGGTTGACTGCCTTCTTGGTTACTGATTCAGCAAAACGGTTACCTTTCGATGTGGCGTGACCTTCGATCCACCTTAAGGTGAGTACATTGTTGATGGATACTTCGACCAAAGCTACGTGACGTTCTAGTACTAACCCTGTGTAAATTCGTGGTCTGTTCAGGGTGGGTAGTGCTTGTCTGCTATCTGTATATATGAGCATGTTACTTCCAGTGATATTATTTCTGGTGATTTCATTTGCTGCTATGAGAATCCCCGTGAGCTCGGTTTGAACTACACTGGCACTATTGCTTGTTAGGATTAGTTTTTTAATGATATAAGTTGGCACCAGTGTCAATCCAAGTTGACAGATGACTAACCTGTCAACTAGGAACTGACAGTAAACATTGTCAATTGTCATTGTACCGAACCAATATATGAAAGACGACGTTGAATAAAGTATTAAATACTATTAATAATTATTTATTACGACCTGGAAATAATACTTTTACATTGCTTACAACCCATTTTATGTTGATGTTTAAGGATCTGAAGTATATTCCACATCCTGAGCCTTGTTTTGTTTTAAAACCGTCGGTGTAGATATGAATCGTACCTGCCACTTCCAGGTCTTCTATTTGTTCTGTTATAACTTTATATAGTTTATAAAAAATATATCTTGGTGAAATAAAGTCCATGTTCGCTTGAAGCAGCGGAAGTGTATCGCGCGCCTTCTGCCAAAAGCGACGTCTCGCTTCACCAGATCCTACATCTAGATTTTATTCCAACCGTGCGGAGGCGTGTCATTGTCATCAGAGCAACCTCCTTGATATAATTATCAAGGGGAGTGAGACCAAGAATGACTTCTGTTAAGACATGCTGTTCTTTGAGTTTGTTCTAGTTTGCTAATAGCTGTCATTTTTTGGGTTTTAGGTACCCAGATATTTGCACCGTATGTGCACCCCACGATTCGGCGGCATTGTTCATAAGCAATGTATGCTCTTTTGACTCTATTTTTCGAAGTGTACGTTCCATTTTAACTTGCTGTAAGGTTTTAATTCCATTTTCATCATTTCCCTTGTGAAAAGGGCCATTTCTGGCTTCTTGGCATGGAGCCAAACAAAAATAAATCATTCTGTTATTGATTTGAACACAAATATTAATATACAGGGCCCGGTAAACCTCTGTCGTAGTAGTCCTATGGTTCTAATCTTAAGTAAAATAAAATAAAAATGTTGGGAAAAAGTAATTGAGTCCCTAAAACACGTTTACTCGACAAGTTAAAATTCTAACATTACCAAAAAAAACTAAGTTTTACCTTAATTTGTCAATCTTGTGTCCTAAATATTCATCAATATTTTTATCTTTTAGAGCGTATTCTTGTCTTTGCAATTTTCCATCTTCGTATTTCTCCATTCGGAAATCGATTCTCTCCTTCTCCTTTTCGTTGATCTGTTTCAACAAAAATAATCTGTGTCTCTCTTTATCTTCCCGTCTCTTTTGCTCGCACGCTAAGTATTCTTCGTGGAGTTTTCTTTGGGCGGCTGCGACCTGCAATAATCATTCACAAGAATCTGCGGAAGCAAAGCCGTTTCAAATGTAATTTACCTTCATAAAATCTTCTTCCTCTCGTGACAGTGCCACAGCTTGTGCTTTTCTCGAATCCTCTATTTGATTAGCTCTGGTTCTCTTTAAATCCTCAATACTTGCCTTTCGTTTCTCTGCGGCTCTTTTCTCTTTCTCGCGCCACTCTTTTTCTTTCTACAACAGAAAATAAAAAGTGGGAAAAAAGGTCAAAAAATAAATATGTGGAAATAAATAAGACTCAGACTTGTAAACTTCGAAATGAACGCTTTACCTCTTCTAGAGCTCTTGCGTTCCTAAACTGTTCCATCATGGCCTTCAATTCTTCATCTTTACCATGTGCTTTTAAGAACCTGGTTTTGTCCCTTTCTAAAGCTGCGTTTTTAGCGGCATTTTCTTTTTCCATGGCCTCATCACGTTCTTGTTTTAGTCGTTGGTATTCCTTGATCTGTAATCATTAACGTTTACATATAGGTAGTATTAAAAGCATATTTTTAAACATATATAAAGAATATGCCTCTGTATGAGACGCGAACCGTAAAGTAATAAGTACCATTATTTAAAAGCCGAAAAATTGTCTCCAACTTTGAAACAGGCGTTCGAACAGTTATGTCACTCAAAATCACGCCACATAAAACCCGCTAAATGATGAAGCTATATACGTTGAATAAAATCATTGGTCCAACCCCAGACAGGAGGCGCGACTCAACAAATTGCGTCTCTTTAAGCCTTTAAAAAATTTTTAAACGTTCATTCCTTTTTTTATCGGGTTCAGAATTCACCTCGGCAAATTTCAAAAGAACAGGGGCGGATATATAAAAAGTTCTTGTTGATAAATTAAAGATATATAAGACCGGAAAGACAATAGATAAGATGGAAACATTGTCAAACGATAGTTAGGACTGGAAATAATGGGTACAAGAGAACAATGTAATCCTTTTCCAACGCCTGAAAAGGCAAAAGTTACCCGAGAAGAAGAAAAATGAGAAGAAGTTTACAAAAATGATTTTTTTTCTGCTTACCCTCATTTCCGTAAATTTATCTTCTTGCTCTTTTATTTTTTTAAAGTATTCCGCCTCTTCGCTCGTCTTTAAGAATTCATCTCTCAATTTGTGTTTCAATTTTGTTCTCTCTATCGCCTTCTGTTCATCTTCTTTTTGTAAAGCAATGAACGCTTTTTTTACCATTCTGCTTTCTTCTTCGAATTTTTCGGCTTCTAGCAAGTCGCTCATTTCCTTTTCTCTCACTTGTTGCTCGACTTCCTTTATATATTTTTGTCTTCTAATTTCGGCTTCCTCTCTTCTCCTTTCTTCCGCTTCGACCTTTTCTAATCTAGTTTGTTCCATCAGCAGGTCCAAGCGTTTGTTCTCTTCTTGTAGTTGTTTCTCTATTAACTAAAAATCGAAAAATATGAACAAATTAGTAACGTACTTAATAGATAATAAAGTATTGTTCTATATTTAGTTCTAAAATTAACCTTCTTTTCAGCCAGTTGGGCGTTACGTATGGCTCTACATTTTGTAGCCAAAATGATAGTGTTTGCTTTCTTGACTCGATCTTCTTGTTCCGTTTGCAGCTCTTGAGATCTCTTTATCAGATACAAATTTTTATTAGCAGCTTCTGTTTCTTCCTAAAAATAAGACAAATAAATTAATTAAAATGGTTAAGAATCAAGTGTAAAGTTAAATTTTGTAACCACATACTAAGAAGATAAGAGAGTCATACTGTTTTATTTTCGTTTGGTCATTACTTCATTTTTTTAAAGAGGCAAATGTCGTTCAAGACGACAGATAGTTCAGACTATCAAGATAAGCCGTGCTGCCCTAAACAGAGCATGGATAAGATACCGAGTCCATGGAATTATCAGAAGACAAACTCACCCGCACTGTAAAAAGCAATATCCGAACGAGACGCCTCACACTGAGGCAACATGCCATCAAAGTTGGCAATAAATCACAGACTCTCTTTATGAATTTGTAAGTTAAATATTGCTTTGTAGAGGTGTTAGTATTACAAATGAAAATACATAGAGGGCTTATAAAGTGTTTGTTTGCTAAAAAAAAAAGAAAGTTATTAAGAATATAATATAATAAAAATGTATATTCTATTAAGCCCTCTATGTATTTTCTTTTGTAATACTAACATATAATATAATAAAAATGTCATGGACCTAATGAGGCCTAAGTGCCGTGGGGGTAATCCACCCTCCACACGTTAAAGATACAGATAATAAAAATGTAATATTATAATAATTTCATTTAGAAAAGCTATGATAATTGTAATCAAATTTCATTCTCTTTAGAATGCGATAAGACATTTTCTTCATCGTCTCCACGGTCATCATCAGTGTCATGAATATAACATGGCTATGAAGCTGGACGAGTCCAGATTTAAACAAATCTACTGCTTCTTTAGGAAAGTGCTGTAGGTTCTTTCTTTTTCAATTTTCGTTTGCTCGTGCTTACAAGGTCGAAACTAAGTAAAAACGAATTAAAGACGTCCTCATTAGTTTTCTCTGTTAATTGGTCTATAGGCAACAAAGCAGAAGATATTATTTCAGGCCCATGTATAAAGTATTTGTGCAATGTCGGAGGCATATTGACCGTGGGTACTTCTCAAAAAAAGTATCTAGCGGTGTTGTGAGCAAATTATATTAATTTCATTCTTTCCAGAACTTCTCATGATATTAAGAAGTTTCTTTCTCGATAAAAACACAGTGTTCAACCTCGTTCCTGAAATAAAATAAAAAATAAATTAAATTGTTATGTGCGAAACACTTATGTTTTATTTATACCGAGTGGACTATAAAAAACTGTATTTTGTTTTTATTTTCATTTTTTAAATAATAAACCGATTTTACTGTTCTTAGGCTCATGTTTTAGATAACTAACTATGCTCCCAGATCTACCAAAAATAAACTAGCTCTAAATCGACTCATATTTCAATTAGGTTCGCCATCCTGGAATTTAAAATTTCCGCCATTTTAATTTAATGATCGGAAAGTATATTTACATACCTAACAAATCAGACCCATTGAGTCCAAATCGGTCAAAAACTAAAATAGCAGCGTTGCAAAGCATAATGATGTGTTATTATAAGCTTCTATGAAAACATAAAAACCAGACAACTTTGATTGTCTATATCTTACGATTGAATGGGCCAATCGTGCTCGAAGAGGTCTTAAAATAAAGAAAATAGGTTAGATATTTAACTGTTGTTATTATATTTTCTATTTAATTTATAATTATTACGCAAAATGAGCTTAAAATGGGTTACTTTTACGCTGGTTTTTTTTCTTCAATTAGGTCGGCCATCTTAAATTTTTGATTTCTGGCATTTTGTTATGTCTGTCTGGAAGCATATTTAATTGCCTATAAAATGAGCCTAAGGATAATAATATCGATTTATTAATAAATAAAATATATTAAAAAAGACAGAATTCGTTTTTTGACGATCGTCCCGCCATATATTTATATACTTTGAAAAAACCCAAATAGTGAAGAAAAGTGCAAATAAGTGCACAAAAACTAAACGATTTCGACAAGTATTACAAATTAAAAATTAAAAAAAAACGACTTCAAAAACGTGCAGATGCCATCACCACATCTTAACCAAATTTATATGGGACCACCCCTGAGGTACCCCCTTACTAACAAAAAAGAATAGAATAAATCGGACAAGGTGGTAAAGCATTATCGCTAAACATACATAAAAAATGAAGAGTTTGAGGATTTTCTCATGGATCCAATTATTAGATTTTGACCAAATTTATATGGGACCACCCCTAAAGTAGCCCCTTTCTAACAAAAAAAGAATTATTGAAATCGGACACCGTGTTAAAAAATTATCGCTGAACATACATAAAAAATGAAGAGTTTGAAAATTTTCTCATGGACCCAATTATTAGATTTTGACTTAATTTATATGGGACCACCCCTGAAGTACCCCCTTTCTAACAAAAAAAGAATCATTGAAATCGGACACCGTATTAAAGAATAATCGCTGAACATACATAAAAAAAAATATCGCGACGAATTGATAACCTCCTCCTTTTTTGAAGTCGGTTAAAAAGTACAAACAATATTCATTATGAAAAGTTGAAAGTTAAAGCTTGGACTGCTTTGAAACACAACAAATAGCCTTCATGTATTTAAGAATATTTTAAAATTTTAACGTTTAACCTTCATTTTACTTAACCCCAATATTATAAGATTACGTTAATTTTTCTACAACTTTTTACTTATTAAAATAATAATACATAGCTGAACTTAAAGGCTCGATGGCGGAAATTTGAAAAAAAATCAAAATACAGCCTAAACACAGCACAAAAACAAGTTAGAACTACGAAATAATAATGAATATATACTCGCCTCAGATAAGTAACTTCGACTGAGGGTGGTGATGAAACGCGTGAGGCAGAAGATCGCACTTGTTCGTTTTATTATGTAGTGGACAGTAATATATCAGAAAAAAATATGAGGTAGTTAGGTAGTTTTTTTATTTATTGCCAAATTTGAGGGCTTCTTGCCCCAGTGTGCGCCTGTTCAATAAGGTTTTCTGCTAGTAGAGGCTAGAACGCTACAAAATCAGCTAGTGACAGTTACATATACGAGAGTAAGTACTCAACCTGTACGTAATAGGTTTCATGAACGTCAAATTCATGCTAAAGTTAAGTCCGGAGGAGGATTCATCAGGGTCTGGGGTGGAATTTTTTTCAAATGGACGCATGTATTTCAGGGGTCTAAGATGGCACAAAGTATATCGATGAAGTTGTAAAAACATATGCTACCATATTGGACTGGGATTCATTTTGCAGCTAACCAACGATGTCCCCACTGAACCAGTGGAACGCTACATGATCCTGATTCCTGCCCACAGTGTATCCACTCTTACCGTCAAGGTCAATGCGTGTTAAGTTTCATACCCCCGCCGTCGTGGGGTCGCCACCGTCACCCTTTGTAGGACATGCTTGTGCAGCGTTGCCAATAGCAAGAATTTTACCCGATTTTTGGGTATTCTAAACCAACCAATGAACTTTTATGAATTGATTTATAATTTATTCATGCAAGATTATAGCGTTTTTGCCGTTTTTCATTTAGTAGTATGCACTATTGCTGAAAAGTCATGTTTTAAAATATTTTCATCGTCACTATTGCATTTATTGGTGACTTCAGGCGTTCGGGGTAATTGATGAGAATTATCACCATTTGACCGTGACAACACTGCCTACTTGATACCTACATAACCACAAATATTTCTTATTGTATCGAGCACTCTGCCTGTGAGTTGTATTACTGAACAATAGACTAAACAAACAACTATACACACAAGGACAACCCTGTTTTTTCTAGCTTTTTCAGGGGACAAAAACCATAACTCAAACGCGACATATCCTTTTACAAATTTCCATTACCGATTCCAAAACAATCCTAATCCCTCAATAATATCGCATGGTAAGGAGTGAGGGCTGCAATATTTGATCATTTTTTATCAGAATAGGGGTAGATATAGGTGGACAAGTCCAGTCGGACTCTAGACCAGCATGAAAGGAGAAGATCCCGGTAGTGTTGATTATACTATTTCATATTCTGAATTTGTAGATATTTTAACTATGTAAATAAAATCCTTGTTATTGTTACTGTTATTTCTTTATTTTTATGAATTTTGTGAGTGATTTGTTTGTTTTTGAACTGATCGTTAAATAATAAAATGGAAATAAAGCAGAAAGTCAATAGTGAAATGGAAATAAAGCACAAAATTAATACCACAGCATAAAGTTTATTTAATAGGTAGTGTCGCGATTAGTTTCGGCATACATTGATCAGTGACCACATGGAGGAAGGATTAAAATGTGACCACATTACATTGGAGATAATGGATAAACTTTCAGTCATGATTGTAAAGTGTAAGTGTTCCGGGTTCCAGGTTGTTACATTATTTTAATGGTAAAATACGTCTTCTTGCTAACACAAGATACCTATAATATAAGAAATAAGAAAAACCAGATAAAACTAAAAAAATAAAAACACTTGAATCTTTTTTATTTTATCTTAATATTTTGCATGTACCTATTATTATTGCCTTATTTTTAGCTATTTTTAGTTTTAGTTAATATAATACCCGAAATTTACATTTTATAAATAAATCGTTATAAATATAATAAATGGTTTCATTTCATAAAAAAATATAGCACCAAAACATGATTAAACCATTATAGTTACGATTTGTTTGCTTATTGTAATCAAATCTCAACTTTAATGGCACACATAATAATTCACGTTCAAAGCGTGCTTCCAAAAAATTATTCAGACATTCAAAAATTGCCGCCATCGTTTAGTTTATATCCCCACCACTGTGAGGGCGCTGAAATCAGCTACGAAAATTATACATTGAGTGTACTGTCTATAAACAATATATAAAAGGTCTGTGATCCTGCCGACCTGATCAAAAATAGCGCAGCTCTAAGATGTTTAGCGACACTAAAACGCATGAACATTATGGAGTTTTTGAAAAAACTCATTAGAAAATACCAGATATGCATTATTGGTTGCCTATATCAATAATCAAGACTGGATCGGCTCCTCCGTCCCCCTATTTTTTATTACGATAATTTCATATTTTAACCTTGCT